AACACAAATTAACATGGAAACACATTAAACAATACAAATATGCATGTACTATACGAGTTTCGACATAAACAAAATTGAAATACCTCGATTTAAGTTTTTTAAATTTGATTGAAATCGAATTTTTGCACCCGAAAGAAGGAATCCAAAGCTTGTCTTGTATGTGAGACCTACACTCCTTGCTCTTTAGGTGACGGGTGGGGCCCACATTTTTTTTTTGAATTTTGACGCGGGGGGAGGGGGGACCAGCAGAATCGAAGGTTTTTGAGGTCCTTCAGTTCAGTGGTCCAAGGAAGAAGAAGGGCTATATTTTATTGAAGTTGTTCGCAGTATTATACTGCGTTTTAAGTAAAACGCAGTATAATACTGCGAACAGCTTTAATAAAATATAGTTGTGCCCAACATCTTAGTAAAACGCAGTATAGTACTGCGATTTACAATTTTTTTTTAAAGTAAAACGCAGTACTATACTGCGAATTACTTTAACGGCAAAATTTCCGTTAATGTAATTCGCAGTATAATACTGCGTTTTACTCATTTATGTAACTTTTTTTTAAAGTAGTACAAAAGTATTTTTTGTAAAAAAAATGATTAAAAAGGTTTCGGACTCCACTTATTTGTGTGTTTTGAGTCCACACACACATTATTTAGGTTTCAGACTCAAGTAATTTCGTTTATAATGTGTATTCTCAATGTAGTATGATTGTTTAAGCAGGGATGATCAAAAGATGAAAAGAAGAATATTTTTTTTTGTTGACTGAAGGCCTGCAATGTGTACTTATGATCCAAATCTTCTGATTTTGCAGCTTTGCTTTCTTTTAGTAAAGGACAGAAAAAAAAGTAAATTCTGATTTTGACTTTGCGTACGTTATAGGTGCAAAGTTGTACTGAACGAGTGCACCACCGGTTGCTTCCTGGAAATTTCAGAAGTCACTTTTTTGGGTTTTCCCTTTGTCCTGCCAAAAGCATATTGCTTCCCTTGCTCATTCTAATGAGATGCTATTTTGGCCAAGTTCAAAATAATTAGGGCAGCATAATATTGATGGTAAAAAGTTAATGTATAGTGGAGAAATTTTTGTGATAAAATTTGAATAATTTATTGAATTTGAACTCTCAAAAATGGCATTGTAATTTCAAAATGATAGTAGTAGTATCATATAAATTGAAATGAAAAGAATAGTGTAAAAAGGTTTATATTGAAGTAAAGATTTAACATTATTTTTGATAATTAAACAACGATTGACCCCGTAATCACATCAAGGGCATCCAACACTTTACTCATCCTTCATTGTTATGTTTTCGACTCTATATCGCGGGCCTTAAAGTTCTATATTAAGGGTAAATTGTTCTCTAAATTTTTTTTGAATACGAGACCTTTGATACTAATTTCGTAACTTCTAATTCTATTAAATTCGCATAAATTAAGTAGAGTTCGATATGGGAAACCAAATACAATGTTACTAATATTAACCTAATTTATGTGAAAATTAATACAAATTCATGTCTAGTAGAAAGTGAAAAAGAAGACTTATACAATAATTATCGCATAATTAGGGATGACAATGGGGCGGTGCGGGTGCGGGGCAGTTTTAAACATATGCGGTTGCGGGGGCAGGGTGAGGCGGGGCGGGGCAAAATATTTTTTTTTAAAATTTATGCGGGTGCAGGTTTAAAAACTTCATCAAAGAAGGAAACTCAATTTTCTAACTTTCTGAATAGGGATGGCAATGAGGCGGTGCAGACGTGGGACGATGCGAGTTTCATCTTATGCAAGTGCGAGGCGGGGGTGGATGGATGCGGGGCAGTGTGAGTGCGGGCGGGTTGAATATTTTTTAATTAAAATCAATGCAGTTGCGGGTTTTGGAGTAATTTGATCTTTCCTAGAATCTGATTATAAAATTCTTCCTCTAAGCCGCTAAACATGTAATTTTGATCAATCTTCCTTATTCCTTTAGGCTTTACCACATTATATCCAGTGTTTATTCCCTCATCTTAAATTGATGTATCACAAAAAATTTACTATATCTAGTTTGCATTGTCAAACCAGTCTATGCATTTAAATCATCATTATTACTACAAAACCAATTTACTTAATTGAATTCATATTTGTCGAGAAACTAATCCTAAGAAGGCTTAAAAATGGTTAGAAGAGATAATACCAAAACGTTTTACTCCTTCAATTTTTTGGATTTGCTTTCTTTCTAATAATACTTTTGATTCTTGATTTTAAAAGCCCTAAAATAAAAATAAAAAAAACTGACTTTGTTAGTACAAGTTAACAGAAAAATATCTGGAAAACAATACTCATTAAAATTAATAATTAAAAAAAAGAGAAAATTTTGTACTATGCGGGGCGGGATGGGGGCGAGGCGGGGCGGGTTGAAAACATAAATTTTGTTATACAGTACGGGGCGGTGCAGGTTAAAGCCTTTGCGAGTTGAGGCAGAATCCGCCCCGCAACCGTCCTGCCCCACCCCATTGCCATCTCTATTTCTGAAGATGAGATTGATTCCACATAATATATTGAAGCAAAATAAAGTTTCATATTGTTTGAACTTTGAACTCATTGCTTGCATGTCAAGTTCTTATTCTTTTATGACAAATTCTAATAATTTAATATCTAACACATAATTATTAATCAATTATAAATCTATTTTATTGATCAAAGTGTTATTCCTTATTTTGCTCAAATACAAGAGCTGCGACTAATGATTAACAAAAAAGAAAATATCTATTAATTGATCTTGACAAAGATTTTTGTATTTCTAACGAAAGCTTGAATATGATAAATTAACATATATATTTTTAACAAATATTAAAAGTAAAAAACTAAGAGGTATTATGATATTTTTGTTAAGTAACTTTAATTATATACGTGCAAGATTTAATTCTCTTATGTATTTTATCTTCTTCTTTCCATAACTGAAGTCTTTCGCAATCTTTAGAATTAATAAAAAGCATGAATACATATAGTAAAAGTGTAAAGAAAATTTCAGCCAAAAAATTAAAAAAATTAAAACTAACAAAATAAAGAAAAAAAAACTTATGCGGAGCGGGGCATTGCGGGTGTGGATGCGAGATGGGTGAATACTAGTACAACTGCTATGCTGGTTAAGAGAAAATCCGTCCAGCACCCGCACCGCATCACTCGTCATCTACGCATAATTGTTCAAATTCTTATCACTAATATTTGAATGATTAAAGTATAAACCAAAGGATGGCTTCACTAATCTCGTTAGTCATTCCACGTCATTTTTCCAATCCCTTTTATTCCATGTGGCATCCCCCATAGCCGCGGCGCACCTGCCTATAAAAATCACTCACATTAAATTAAACTCGACATCCCACTCTCCAAACTCCTCGTTTCTCTCTCTCTCTATATAAATAAAGATATCTGTGCACACTGAAAAATGTTTTCCATTTAAGCTCACTCTTCTCTAGAACAGTCTAAGCTCTCTATACCTAATGGAAAAAGCTAACCGGAAAACACATGGGAGTACTGATCCCGGCGCCGAACACACTACCACCGGTAAACGAGCTAAAATGCAAAATGACGATGAAGAAGAAGAAGAAGGCGATATGATGGCTTGGTTAAGCTTGGACGACGAGAAAATGACTGAGCTTTCCAATGTACTGGACCCTGATACTGCGTCGTTTCAGCAGTCGTTCAGAGTGAGGTTCATTGAAAACCCGTACATCCCGCCGGTGATCGTACAGTCCTCGTCGGGTTATATTACTATAAACGGCAACGAGGAGTCATGTGGCTCGTCATTTTCCGACTTGGACTCGTCGGCCATGGCGAGTGTAGATAGGGGGAGCTTGAATGGGATTTTATTCGAGGCGATTAAAGGAAAAGGTGTCGCGTGGGGTTCAGACGCCGATGAGGCAGGTGGATGGATGGAAGAAAATGGTGATGACGTGGCGTCGTGGAGTTGGGGTAAACAAATGGACGATGAGGATTTGTTTGGTTGTTATGGCGGTGAAAAGATGGACGATGATGATGATGAAGCTAGCTGCGGTAAGTTTCTGGGGGAAGACTTGTTTGGAAATTGGGACACTGTAGAAAATTGGTGAAAATTATTTTGGGGGGATTTTGTAATTACTTAAAACTTATAGGACGATGGTGAAAAAACCAGTTTTGGGGTTGGGGCTTTACAAATGCTAATATTAGATATATTTGTTAGTACTTCTTTTCTAAATGAATATGGAAGAGTTGTGCTTTTCTGTTCTTTTCCGTATTAGGAATTTCTACTTTTTCTGCTTTTTATTTTTAGTTTTTTGTCATCTTCTTTTATCGCCCTAATTTCTACTTTAGTATTATTTTTATAACATATACAATCTAAAAATCAAAATTTTAGTTTTGTATACCCTTTTTAAAATAGTTCTATATCATCAACCTCTAGTTTTATTAAGTTAATAAACAAAAAATTAATTACCAAAAAAATAAAATTAAGTTAATAACCAGTATGCGTACAAGAACTATGACTATGCTGAAGTAGTTATAGTCATCAAGTAATACTTTTCCAATATAGTGGTCAATATATTGAATGGACCACGTTATTTGGCAGGGACATATAAACGTAGAGCACGTTTTTTTTTACATGTCACTTTCAACTCAAACTATATAGTTAAATACTTTAATTTATGAATTGATGTTGAATTCACGTCTGTGTGCACCAAACAGTTTTGGAGTTGTGAGGTTCCACAATTACTACAACAATAACTATAACACATTCAATGTTATCCCATAAAGGACAAGAGGCGGAGTCAGAATTTCAACCTTATGAGTTTTGGATTTTGGGACCATGATTTCAAGTGTTAATGACTGAGTTTTAGATTTAATATTTATACATATTTCATAAATTCAGAACACTAAATACACTGTTTAAGCAAAAATTACTGGGTTCGGCCGAACCGTAGGTCGGTTTATGCCTCCGCCCCTGTAAAGGACAGCTCGATGGACAAGGTATTTTGTGTCCCTGTAGGGTCCGGGGAAGACCAGACCCCAAGGGATGTGACGTAAACAACCTATCCAAATACAAACATTAGTGGTTGCTTCCACATTTCAAAGCCGTGACCCATAGATTACACGAAGGCAACTTTACCATTGATCTAGGGCTCCCCTTCAGGTTCCATATTTTCCAACTTATTAAAATCTTGTAGTTATCCTTATTTTGTGGGTGCGTAAAATTACTGTTTTCTAACTACAAACGAGTATGGGTGAGCATCGGTCGGTTCTGTTGGGTTGTGAATGTTATTGGTTCAGCATATTGATTTATAGATATGCTACACAGATAATCGAACTGATAAGATAATGATTATCGGGTATCGGTTATCGATCCTTATCAGTCCGATCATCAGTTTACCCGATAAAGAATCAAAACGTCCAAAAAAATCATGTTTTTATTATAGAAATCGTAATGATATTGTCAAAACAAGGAACTAATTTTTTTTGTTCTTAAGAAAGGATTAAATTTCAACTTTAAAAAAGAAAACTTTCTTTGGATTTAAAAATCCTAATGAATTATTTCAATTTTCAAAGTTATAAGTTAGTAGGAGTAAGGAATAATTTAATCTTACTATTCCCTCTGGTTCACAATAAGTGACCAATTTCCTTTTAGCACGCCCATTAAGAAAATGCTAAATCCTATACAAAAATACTTAGTATGACTAAACTATATTAAATATTGGTCACATAGTTATACTGAGGAGTGAATTTTTTTTAGGGATATGCACATAAGGGTAAAAGAGTAAAAACAAATTGAATTTTTTTTTATTACCTAACTGGACACTTATTTTGAACCAAAATGAAAAAGTAAGCTGGTCACTTATTGTGAACCGGAGGGAGTAATTATCACTTTGGGGGGGGGTGGGGGTCATA